GCTCTCAACATTTCTGCCTGTGCGCGCTCAACTCTTTCTCTACACCGTTATATTTGTGCCACAAAAGCATCCAATCACAAACTTGGATGCAAAAAAAATCTGATTGGCTGTTTTGGTCTCCAATCAGCTTGAAGTGACGAAATGCAATATCCCAGAATGCATTTCGTCCAAAATTCAAACGACGCAGTGGCGGAGGAACACAGTTTGAAATATTAATCTTTCTGGGTCACAAAATAAACTTTTAAGATATTTTAATGCGAGAATGTTTCCGTGTAAACTTCAAATATCTGCTCGATTTATCAAGACATCACATATTTGCAAAAGTGCTCTGACGTTTTTGGAGATGCAAATTAACTGGACCTGCTGCTGTAATGCTGCGTGGGTTCACTGTTTTCAAAATTAAAGGGTTTCTGATTGGACACCAGTACTAACGTTTGTGTTTGGTCCAGAATTGTACAAAGGTCAGAGTTTTCTTTGGACATTGGCAGCGTTTTCTCTTATTTTTACACATCGTTGTACCTGAATATTTTCAGACGAATGTTTTTTGTTCGTTAAGCTACTGAACTCTGTCCTATGAATCACTAAAACAGCATCTAATTCAAGGATTGAATCAAATACCTGACAGATTCATCTGCACCTTCAGCTGCTCATCTGCTGTTCACCAAAGCGTCATCAGAAATGGTCTCAGGGAAGGGCGGCTTACAGGAGGCCATGCCTACGGAAGGAAAACAGGGAGGAAAGGCTGAGGTAACTGGACTATAAAACAGATGGACGGATCTGATGGAGTTATGAATCTGAATCACGTCAGCCTGTTTGAAGGAGGTCAGGAGAGAGGTTTAACAGTCGGCGTCTACAGCCTTCTGTAGAACACAGTGGAGGCACTGCCCTGGTTTGCGCTGCATTTCAGCCAGTGTTGTTATATTAAAACTGAAGGAATTATAAATGCAGAAAAGTAAATGCAGATTTAATCCACTGTACAATATCACCTTGAGACTGGAAATGGCTTCATTTTCAGTCTGAGCATGATCACAAACAGTCAGATGATGCATCACAAGGTCATCTACATGGTGCTCTACTGTGTGTTTTTTCTATGAGTCATGGATCAGTCTCCCTGGAACTCAGACCTCGACATTGTTGAAGACGTGTGGGGTTTTGGCAGGCAACAAAACAAAATTCAGCCAATATCCAAAGAATATCTATAAATCTTTTTCAGGAACCCCGGAGAACTCTTCCTTAACCTGAATAAATGACAAAAAAGCTGCCAAACTGTGTTCAGTCTGTGGTGAAGATTAAAGGTAGCCAAACCACATCAATCAATACCAAATATTTAAAGTTGTACAAACCTTTGCTTTGTATACTGTATAATGTATTTGGTTTTGCACACATTTCAATAAATCTGCCGTTTCATTAACTTGCTACATCATTTCCTCATTTTCCAGGCAAAACATAAATGAAGGATAGCTTTAGACTTTTGCACAGTATTGCACTTTTATTTATCTCACTCATCTGTAAATTTTTACCAACTGACATTTTTAAAATACACATGCAAAATATAAACATGTATTTAAATGTACTGGAAATGTATTCAAACTGAAAGTTCTTTGAAGAATCTACTAAAAGTCTTTGCACTTGGAACAAAAACCTGCATGAATGCCATAAAAACGACACAAACACAATCCTTTTATTTTGTTACTGTTAGAAAGTTGGTTTGTCGTGTCATACTGATCATTTATTCATTCAGTATATGTTCATTGCCTGCAGCTTTTCTACCTTGCCATTTAACCTCTCTCTTCCTTTACTGCTGCACGTCTGCTGATGTTCCTCTGTTGATTTCTGGAGTGGCAGCCTTTGTGGATAACACTTATTTTCTCTGTAAAAGTCTTATTTTGACAATTTTCTCTGGGATGTTTTTCTATTATCACATCACTTTTCTTTTTCTCGTGTCCTTTTGTCCCTCCAGATGTCCCACAGCAGCCTGTCTGTGAGGAGGAGGAGGTTCTCCCTGAACAGCAGCTCTGGAAGCAGAAAAGGAGCTCCAGTGTGGACCAGGAGGAACCAGAACCAGAGGGAGAGCAGCTTGGACTGAAGGGGGAGGCTGATACCTTTGTGGTGACTGCTGCTGAGGAAGAAGACCACAATGACCCAGAAGCAAACACTGACCAGCTTCTTTATCACAACTGTCCTATAAATGAGAGCCAAAATCATGAAGGAAGCTGGAATTTAGATTCAGGGACAAATAGTAACTCAGAGGGTCGGTGTAACTCTGACACAGGTAAAAAGTCCTTAACATGTGATTTTTGTGGAAAATCCTTTAAGAATAAGTACAACATGAATCAACATCACAGAATCCACACAGGTGAGAAGCCGTATTCTTGTGAAACATGTGGGAAAGGTTTTTATGTGTCATCATCTCTTAAAAGCCATAAGACTACCCATACAGGTGAGAAACCATATTCTTGTAAAACATGTGGGAAAAGCTTCACACAGAGGGGTAGTTTGACTATACACATGAGAACGCACACAGGTGAGAAGCCGTATCATTGTAAAACGTGCAGGAAAATATTCACATGTAGCAGTCATTTATCAGTGCACATAAGAACACACACAGGTGAGAAACCATACTGTTGTAAAACATGCGGGAAAATGTTCACATACAGAAGTCAGCTGTTCGGGCACATAAGAACGCACACTGGTGAGAAACCGTATCATTGCAAAACATGCGGGAAAATGTTCACATATAACAGTCATTTGTGGCGTCACATGAAAACTCACACAGGTGAGAAACCATAATGTTATACAAAATGCGGAAGAATGTTCACATACAGAAGTGTCTGTTTGGACATAGAAGAACTCACACTGTTATATCAAGCGTATCATTTTCAGAAATTGTAGTCTTGAAACATTTGGAGAGAAGCCAAGCGTGAAAGAAGATTGGTGGACTTATACGTGTTCACAGGAGAGCTTTCAGAGTTCAAATATCTTTAGACTGTGTTCCGACAAGCATCATTTATTGCATGATTATTATGTATAAAGCAGAGTTTCATCTAATATGTTCTCATCTAATTCTTCAGTGAAAATATGGTGACTCTTAAAAAAATTAATTTTAGTTTTGGTTTTATTTATTGATATACAGTCTTTATTTACAGGGGGATTGAAACTCAGTTTGTATATTAAGTTTTGTATTTGCTGTCTATTAGTGGATAACCAATGACTGTTGCTGGTTGGTGTCTTGTGATGTAAAACTGCATTCGAGCTATTTGTTTTTTAATAAATAGAAAATCTTGATGTTTTTTATTTTATTTTGTTTTTTATATTTGAAGCTATTCAGTTTATTTGGTTCATAATACCTTTGGGTATTTAGTTCATTTAGACTGACTTTGTTTTTTTGTGTTTTATCTGCATAGCAGTAACTAATGACAGTAATAAAGTAGAAAGTTTCGAGGGGATGATTGTTTCCCTTGGACTCCTCCAGCCTGCAGCAAAGACCTCGTTCCTATAGCTGCACATATGTTTCTCTGCTTGAGAGCACAGTGTGAGGCAAAGATGTTTTCCTGCGTCATGGGGACCTGCCAGAGCTGAGGAAGGCTGGTTTGAGCTCATCTTTCATTCAGCACCGCTTTAAAAGGTCAAAGAGGGTTTTAAGCAGAGTAGAATAAGATGGAATAGGGATAAATGAAGATAACGGTTTACTTCAATTTTACCTTTATAATGTTTGAATAGATTTTTATAGATTATTGCTGTTAGCTTCTGCATGCATTAAATAAATTGAATCTGTTATTAAAGTAAAGCCCACCTGTCATTACTTATTTCATTCAATAGTTTCTTTCAGATTGTGTGTTAGAGAAACATTTTTACCCCTTTACCTCCATCATTTTGGTTTGTGTACACCTGAACTTTGTTGAAAACTGTTACACAGGGGTCTATGTCTGTTCCTCAGACTCCTCCTACCTGAATGCTGTCATTATAAAGCCACTTGAGCTCGGTCCTTAAGATGTTTTAGATTAAATATCTGGCACTATGGCTCCATGAATATGGACTCTCAGAAGTGGAAAGTCCACTGCAGTCCAACATCAGGCTGGTTGTGCTTTGACTTGTGCAGACAGAAATCATCTCATTGGTTGAGTTCAACATCAGTGGGTGGAATCAGAAACAGTTTCAGGTCAGTCGGTGAGGTTATTTCTTTCTTCACCTCTGTGTGTTACTCTACTCGATCTATTTTCTTTTTCTTGTTTCCTTTATTCCTCCAGACGTCCCACAGCAGCACATCTGTACGAAGGAGCAGGAGGAAGTTCTCCCTGAACAGAAGCTCTGGAACCAGGAGAGGAGCTCCAGTGTGGACCAGGAGGAACCAGAACCTCCACAGATTAAAGAGGAAGATGAGGAACTCTGCAGCAGTCAGGACAGAGAGCAACTTGCATTTAAAGAGACTGATACCTTTATGGTGACTGCTGCTTATTAGGAAAGAGATCATGGACCATAATAGGAGTAGCTCCTCTCTCACAGCTCTGCCGTAGCTGAGAGAAAAGATCAGGAAAGAAAGAATAAAGATTTGGGATCATCTAAAAATTCAGTCAAAGTCAAAGAAGAGACTTCACATAAACTGACATCACAGCAAAAATGTAAAAGACTCTCCTCTATCAAAAAGTCAGTGTGACTCTGGTGCAAGTAAAAAGTCTTTAAAATGTGAAAAGGTTCCAAATGAATAAATTTCACAGAATCCGCACATGAAAGAAGTCTTGCTCTTGTAAAGAATGTGAGAAACATTTTACTCACAACAGTACTTTGACTGTCCACATGAGAATGCACACGGGAGAGAAGCCATATCATTGTAAAACCCACGAGAAAACATTCAATGTAGGAGTTAGTTGTCAGTACACACAAGAATTCAGACAGGTGACAAACATATGAATGTAAAGCATGTGGCAAAATATTCATATTGTGTAGAAATATTTTACGCCAGTGGTCTCCAACCTTTTTTGCACCACGGACTAGTTTATGTCCGACAATATTTTCACGGACCGGCCTTTAAGGTGTCGCGGATAAATACAACAAAATAAAACTAGTACCGGTACCGAAAAAAAGAAGATTTATTCATAACACACGTGAATTTGGCTTCCCCAGTCTGCATGCCAAATATCCTTGGGCAAGATACTAACCCCAAATTGCTCTCCGATGCATCCATCACATATGAATGTGTGTGTGAATGTTACTTAGAAAGCACTTAGAAAAATGTGCTTGTGCGAATGGGTGTGAATGGGTGAATGTACAAGTTGTGTACAGCGCTTTGAGTGCTCAGAAAGAGTAGAAAAGCGCTATATAAGAACCAGTCCATTTACCATTTACCATAACGCAAAAAACCCTGAAAACCATACATTTCACACCTGAGCCTCAACTCTCGTGGCCCGGTACCAAACGACTCACGGACCAGTACTCGTCTGAGGCCCACGGATTGGGGACCGCTGTTTTACGCCACACTGAAAATCACATGGGTCAGAAGTCCTAGTCTTGACAGTTAAACATTATTATTAATCCAGCTTTGGGCAAAACATCCAAAAGTGTGTACATGTTTCAGTTCAGAGTTCAAACTCCTTTTGTGTTTGAGTTTATTACGTGTAACACTGATCAGTCTGATCTGTTATCCATCTACATCAGGCTTCTCGGTGATGTTCAGTGAAGCTTTATTCTGATTAGACTTTGTTGTTAAAAAAAACAAAACATTGACAGTTGTTTAGTTTATTTGGCTAATTTTCAATTATGAAGTTCATTTAAATCAGTTTATTGTTAGCTTTATTTAGGAGAGCTTCCTTTGAGCTCATCGTACAGCCATGCGTCACATGATCCCAGGCAGTCATGAGTAGAGGAGGATGAAAATAATGGCTGATTAATTTTTGTCTTCATGCATTTATTATTTTGAATATAATTTCACAGGATATTGCTGTTAGCTTCTGCAAGCTGTAAATAAAGCATTTAACTTGTTGTTAAAGTAAAACTGTCTTGTCTTTATTTTATTTGACTGTTTCGGTTTCTTTAAAATGCCAGTAGCCTCTCCTCAGTGATCTAAAATACAACTATGTAGTATGAGTGCGCTTGTTTTTAAAAAGTTCCTTCGTCTTTTGCTCCTTTCCAGAGTATAAACTGAGGAGCCTGAAGGTCAGAATGATGTTTGTACCAGTGAAGCCAAGGAGTATCATCACTCGTCTCATAGCTACATGTGAGTTTGACAGATTCTCCTTCTGTTTCAGTGACTTCAGGTTGTTGAGGAGTGATTGAG